TTTAAGCACGTATTTTTCAAGTCCAGTAAAGTGTAGTCTTGATACGGTCTTGTGCTGTCGAGATGCATTACTTATTGGCTGTTCTATTCCCAGTGACATGAAACAGTCAATAGCAGTGCATCATTACGCATTATGTATATATCGAAAAGCTGTTTATTTAATACTATTGCGAGAAAGATTTCAGTTTCAAATATTTATTAACTAGGCATAATATCACATAGCATTGATCCTATTATTATATACAGTGATAAGTAGGGCTGTGAAATATATGCATTTGCATATTTTTCCTGGTTAACTAAAACATGCAGTTTTAACAAACTGTATATGTTTTGAAACATTTGGAATCAATTTCAGCTATTTTTATTTTGCATATTTGTGCATATATTGTTATAAATGCATATTTTTGCATAAGCGGATTGTAATTGCATATTTTTTTACATATCCGGCATATCGGCACTTGGCACGTCAAACCTTAATGTTTCTGAGCAGGCAAAAGAAAAAAAATCCCCGAAAAAGAGCTACGGGCTCTCTCCCATTCTTCCGTTTCCAAGACTGAGTTTGTGTTTGTTCAGTTGCTGCTTCACCACTTTTCGCGAACGTTTGGTCGCTTTTGCTTCTCTTGGAAATGTAGAAAGGTGTTTGTTCCACTGTAAATGTTCTCTTGGAATAGTTTAATATTGGATTCATGGAAATATTACGACCTTTTGGACCAATAGGTCAGGAGTTTTTTTCTTTTTTAATGTTCGTTGTTAAATTTTTTAAATTAACATTTTTTTAAAACGTGTTTTTCTTTTTTAATATTCGCCATGTGATGTTCCTCTTGCCACTGTTTCTCTGTTTACTTTTATTTGTGTTTATACTTATGTGTATATTGCGGTTTCCTTATTTTTCTCATGGTAGTTTTCGCATATTTTCAGTTTTTAATTGCATATTTTTACCAAATATATTTACATATATATGCGCATATTTGTCTGTTTTTATTGCATATAAATCACAGCCCTAGTGATAAGTAACAGTTTAAAAGCAATTGTTTTCATAAATTTTATAATATTAAAAATTATAATTATATTATTCTTTATAATAGTTAGTTTTTGTCAAAATATGCAAATATATATCATAAAGTAAAATAAATATAATACTAACATATGTATGTTTGTAAATTCTGGACGCAGGTACAGTTGTACGGTATGTGGTAGACAGCACGACCCGATAATAGTTACATAACATGGAATGTTACATAATACTTTATATTTAGGCATGCTTATGCATGAAAATTTTTTATCGAAATAGGTTTAAAAAACCTTATTTAATCTAACCACACATAGAAAGGTATGTATTATTACATTTCACGTACGATTAACTAAATACTCTTGTCAGATCCTCTAGACTGGTGGATAATCAATCTTTCATGTAATCCTGCTATTAAATTTTTTATGCATAAACATGTATATATGTATATGTATACTATATTAAAAGATGTAAGTCTATAATTACTTCTTTTTTAAAATTTACATTGAGTTAAGTACTTATAAACATTTTCAAACACAAATTACAATTTTATTTTCCAGTACGCGAAAGAAAAAGGAAACAGATCTTGCAAATAAGATCTATTTCCTTTTCCTTTCGTCTGTTGCAAAGAGTCTCCAAATTCTGCAAAAACAATAAAAGTTGACAATTCATACGTAAGACAAAAGGAAATTGAATTAGCGGATATCAAAATTACAAACGCGAAATAGAAATATGTCGGTTAAGGACAGAACGTGTGAGGAGTCTATTAATAAAATGACTCGTCAGAAATTATTTTTGTAGAAAAAGGAGTTAATTGAAAGAATTCAATTAGCCAAATTTTCGCAGACAAAGAGATGTAAGTTTATAATTACTTCTCTTTGAAATATTTACATTGAGTTATATGCACTTACAAACAGATTTTCTGTTAATTTTGGGGGAGAACATTATGTCTTTGACGATGAACACATTGAGTAAAAGTTATAATCCTGAGATCGCGCTCAACTTCATCGTCTTAGTGGTACAATTAAGATTACAAGAATGGGTGATGTAGCGAGCGAGTCTGCCACATAAAGTCGTATTAACCACTCGCTCCTTATTAAATCAGAACGCACATATATACCGTGAATCTGCAATATATATCTCGAGATTATATATAGAAAACAAAATAGGAAACATTAATTAACTAATAGAATAAAATTGAATTTCATACTCACTGGAGCCTCATATTGTTTCCGCCAACCTAATAATTTCTCCAACTTATTTGATCACCATCGTATGCTTCTCCAGATCTCTGGCCGTGTATAATCCCGGATCTTGAATGTTTGGTCTCGCTAAATAAACATTATTACGCCATTCCTGTTTCATTTTCATATACTGCAAGCTTTTCGATTGCACAAATTATTTAAGTATGGGTAGGAGGCAGCCACGCCAGCAGCAGCAGTGCAGCAGCAGCAGCAATACCTAATCCTACATTTACAACACAACACGACACATTGATTTATACGTGACATTTCTAGTAATGTTAGAATTGGACATACCGATTGCGTTATATTATTCAAACGGATAAATACGTACGTTCATTATCCTGGTCTTTCATCGAGCCACACCACTGCTTGACTTGGTCCATCGCCTTTGGCTTTTTGGATAGCATCGGGTGTCTATATGTACGCAACAATTATTGTATTGAATATCGTTGTAGCGATTTATTGCATTAAATGTTTAAATTTTTTCTAAACAATAAAATCACTCACCCTGCTTGAGTTGCCGTGCTTAGATCAGGCTTATTGGTTTGGGCTTTTATCACTGATTTTTTCACGATAAACTTGCACCTCCGACTAGGGCTGGTGATTTCCTTCGAAGGCTTCGATATTCGAAGATTCAAAGCTTCGAAGTTCAAAGTTAACTTCGAAATCTTCGAAGCTTCGAAGTTTCGAAATTTAATCGTGCGAGTGACGAATTTCTCCGACGAACACTAAAAATATTGTAAATAAAAAGTACTAATTTATATATATGTATATTGAGAAATAGGTAATTACTTCTAAATTATAATTTTAAAATACTATAACATGTAGATTACATATTTGTTTAAGATCGCGTAATTAAATCTTAAAAAATGGTCAATTAAGTAAATCAATTAAGTATCAACACTAGAAAAATTCGCATAAATTCATTATTATATCGCTATAATAATTTAATTTATTTAAAATTTATTTGAATATATATTACTTGAGTTTCTAAATTATCGAGTTATTGTCCATGTACCTTCTTATCCACGTCGCGCGTCTATCATGAACATTCACCACTTGAACAATATTTAATATACAGGGTGTCCTATTTTAACTTGGACAGTAAAATATCTCGAAAACTGAGCCCAGCAGACAAAAAATGTTTCAGACAAAAGTTGTATGGTTTCGAGAGGGACATAAGATGGTACCATTGTGCATTGGTTTGACCTTGAAGAATTATTTGAAGGTCACACAAAGGTCACACCAATTTTTTAAAATGACATCCCCTATTTTTTATTACATATTCTTGTAGCCGACTCCGAGAGCTTTCCAAAACGCTATAATAATGTATTTTTTCAGCTCTACCTCCGACAACTCTTCCTCCATTCTGTATGCGTGTCTAGCGATCTCTCTTCTACAAATGAAAAAACAGCTACGTTAATAAACAACATGGTAAAAATCGTCGGAACAGAAACACAAGACAATTTACCACAAAAGCAGCTAACGTATACGAGAACGTATTCGTACCCAGTCAGAAATGACTCGAAAACCGACGTCAAAACAATATCGAATCGATGCATTTTTGGTTCCATTTTCGATTTTGGCTCTAAATAAATATTTTGTAGATATTCCACGTATTTCTCGATATCATCTTTAATGCGGTTAATGTTAGACAATGATATTGGTGCTTGACTTATATTTTTACACAATAGATTTCTACTATTGAGTAAATCAAATATATTTTTCATATTTCGAATGAATAATGACGTAGCTGCTGATTCACGAAACTGTTCCAGGTTTAAGTCTATTGCACAAAAATCTATAGCATTTGCAACACTAGTGCTTTTCAACGGCCAGCTTTACTCTCATCTGTTCCGGTTGCCAATTTAAATGACGTATCCTTACTTTTGTAGCAGCATGAAGTTGCTCCTGTTCTTGCAATTGTACTAAGTAGGTAATATATTTCCACTGTATTTTATTTCTATCCATATCATAAATGTTTGTACTACTTGCAAATGAATTTCGAATTAACTTTATCATGTGAACTGCATCCAATATGGAAACTTTTTCTTTCGTTTGTGGATGTATAAAGTACGATTGCAGATTCTTTGGACATAGATTGGCACCCAAGCATTGCATTGTTGAAATATTTGCTGCGGAGCCATCCCCATAGTAATATTAATAATAGTGGCACCTACTTCATATAAGGATGCTAATACTGATTTTATTAGATTTGCTCTTTCAGTGCCGTTTAAAGATTGTATTAAATAGTATGCAATTGGTATTTTCCAGTTACTATTAACACACACAAGAAGAAGTACGCATGCATATTTTGCTTCTGGAAGATTGTCGTTATATTCAGAACTTGTTCCTAATCAACGTATCCATAACATTTATCATTGTCGATTTCTACAAATTCCCAGATAACATGCTTGTCTAAAAGACATCTTCAAGACTTCTTTAAAACGTCTTTAAGATATCTTTTAGACGTGTATGTCTAAAGATGTTAAAGACATCTTAAAGATGTCTTTTAGACATGCATGTTATCTGGGTTCTCGTATAGACATATCGTCGACAGTTAGACTAAAATATAATTGTTTCCCTTCTGACATTGCTTCGTTAACTTTTGCTTCTACTGTTCTTAAGGCTTCTGTTGTAATACCAGGTTTTCCTTCCACAGAGGAATACCACTTTCTTATTGTTTGTGGATGCGGCAAAATATTCAAAAATGTCCTACGGACATACTCGTACGCTTTCGTAGAATAAAATTGTAAGGTTGCTGCAAAAGTTTTTAGCTCACTTGGAAATGCTCCTCTCTTATTACCTTTTAAATGTCTCTCTATCATCTCCTTTTCTGTTAACGACACAGTATTCTGTTGCAGGAAAATGCATTTTACATAATTAATACATGATTGTTTTGCAAGTCATTATTTTCGTCGATGTCTGTTTCATTAAGACCGGATCTATACAATAGTAGCTTAAAGCTTACTACACCTATTGTAGACCCGGCCTAATAATAAATAAATTATTATATTATATTATATAATAAAGATTAAGACCGAGTTTACAAGCTTACACCTATTATAGACGTAATCTACTCCTTTCCAATGCTTTCCTTCTAATGTTATACAATATTTGAAGCAATTACGTTTTGTATATTCTTACTTGTAACACTTCTGCAGCATTTTGAGAGAGTAACTGCTTATCTTGCTTTGTAAGCGATGTTAATGAATCAATTTTCTTCTTATATCTTCTGCATTTCTGTTGATAAATCTTTAACGATTTCCTTAATCGTTCAATTTCCTTTGTGTGTTGCACTATATTATTATCTTTATCATTATTATATTTCGTGCTCTGTACAGTTGCACTACGCAAAGAAACATTTATAAGTAAATTTATCTTTTCATTATTAATAATAATCATTAAATTGTATATTACTATAACTCTTTGTTACTTTACCTCTGATCAAACTTAGTCATACGACGTTTTGAAATTATAGACTCATACTGCTGTGGTAATGATGGAATTTCATGCTGCTGTGGTAATGATGGAATTATAGATTTCTCGCAATCATATGCATTCTTTAGCTGCCTCTCCTCATTCTGATAAAATATAACGTAATTTTTAAATAATATACAGTATTTACAATGGCCTAGTTTACACCGTGCGACCTGATCGCGACCTGACCTATGCCCTGACCTAAAATAGGCTTCTAAACAAAACGTTTACACCATGTAGACCTATGATGCTTTTGGGTCGAATATAGGTAAAAATTTAGTCCTCATGTGAATGCCATCTTCATACATAACCAATATCGTTTGTACTTTGTTTACTCTGCACTTTAGGTCACCTGCGTTTACACGCGTTACGTCGTGTGACCTAATTTAGGTCAGGGCACGCGAAAAAGAGACCTGACCCAAGCTAGGTCGCAACTGTTTACATCGTCGCGACCTATCGTGTTTGGGTTGAATATAAGGTATAGGTCGCGACCTAAACGCACGGTGTAAACTAGGCCAATATGAACAAGAGTAAATATGAAATTTGACATACCGTATCATGTATAATATACTTTGATTTTAATGGCATATTAAATTTAGTTGGTACAGCATCTGTTTTTAATATAAGCTTGTCGGTGGCTGTTATCACATAACATTCTTTTTCAAAGTGGTGGCTACATATTACTGACGTTGCAGTATGTGAGAAATTACGTATTTTTGTTTTCAATTATTGCAAGCCATCGATGTTTCTTCTCCATATTTTTTGGAAACCTAAAATTATATACAGTGTTTTTGCAATACATTGTCCAAGTTTCTGTGCACTATATTCATAAAGTCTTCTATTAATAATAACTTGTTACTACTATACTACTTGCTAATATATGTAATAAATAGTCGCAATTATAGTAAATTACATTCATTCTTAGGTTATATTCTTACTTATGAAAAGTAATTCCGCTTGATTTCGGTGTGTACTCAATACCACAAATACAACAAACAGCCATTTTATAATGTTGTATTTATAATAAATAAAATATACGTAATACTTATTTTACGTATTTTTTTATTTTCTGAAATGCACGTTGTACTGCGTTGTACTCAATCTGAAAGGTTAGTTTGATACATTACTGATACGAATTGGCATACATTATTTATTGTAAATGGAAATGGCCTATGAAAAAAATTGTTTTAATAAAAGTAATTAATGTAATTACTTGCTCCAACGTATAAAAGTATTTACGCGTTATTCGTCAACACTGCGAATTTTTCAATGTCACACCGACTTTGCACTAACACACGTACAAAAATCCTGTGATTGGTCATTATAAAAACATGTCGGATGCGCAGTACGGATCGGCGCGAACGTGAAACAAAAGAGCGAGTGAGCATACTGGTTATACCATAGTATAACAATCTATTATTGCTCGACAATTTAAATAATTTTTTAAAACTAAAATAGGTAAAGTATGTATATTTAATCATTTGTTTGCTTGGCCAGTATACGTAATTTTTCATATCAACTGTAAGGGTGCCATTACATGGAGCGCGGAAACGCGGAAACGCGGAAACGCGGAAGAGAATAATAACTAGATTCCCGCGTTCCGTTCTGTCTGTTTTAATTGCCCCTTATATTACATGGAGCACTATTTGCACGGAAAAGCTAATGCTGAATAGCTGATACCTAGCTTTAGTTTTATTAAATATATTAGCAATCTGCTTTTATTACTTTGCTATGCATGGCATCTTATGCGTAGCTTGTTTGTTGATACTTTGAAAGTATTGAAGAAACATTTGCAATAGCTCTTTATTCTGTTTTACATAAGCAACAGTATGCAACCATTTTGATAATGTTATCTGAACAAATTACACAATACAGTCTAACAGAATAGCAGTTGATGTGAGCAATTGTCCATCCTGTTATCCCTACGCTGTTTTCCGGCTTTTGTGTTTCTCCATCACCCACGCATCAGACAGAGACACCATTACAGTCTCTATTGCCTTCTCTCTCTGGTGTTGTCTTCAAAACCTCTCACGAGGCTCACAATCTGTTTATATAAGTCTATGGGGACTATCCAGTCTATATGTAATATGTCTATGGTTGTTACTGGTTGTCTGTTGTCTTAGCTGTTGTCATAGCAACACATCAGTCAACATTGAAATCCATCAGTGAGTGACTGTTATTTGTATAAAGAGGTGCATAAAAAGGTTTTACTCATTTTATTTAGAAAGAGATTTTACTTTATTGTAATACAGTTTAATTAAACATTTCATTTTATTAAAAACTATATTCGGTATATTTTATGTAAGATATATTACCATGCATACTTGAACAAAATGTCCGAGTAAGTAATTTCAACATCTCCTAATGTATTTTTCCTCGATAATTTGGTAAATATGCAGTATAATGCCTACACCTTTCTTGTAAATTTTTCAGAATTTGTGTGTTTTTATGCGTAAAATATATTCTGAGAATAAAAATTAACGCTCATGTACCGTTTAATTTTAATTAATTTTTAAACTTTTTCGATGTCGGTAAGTGAGATAATGATAATTTTTTTAAATATTTTGACAACTTAAATTTTTGTTAACCTGTTAATTTATAATAAATATGAAATTATATGAATTTTTACAAAATAGTTGGTGCATTTCATTAAAATAGAGAAAAATGACAAATATTCTTTGCTTTAGAATAGTATGTGCTTTTGATTAAAGCAGAAAATAATGACAAACATTACCGTTATTTTAATAAAATAATTTTATTGAAGTTAGAAGTAACAGACTTTTACATAATTGAAGTAAAGTGAGAATATTGCGAAGAATATTGCGCATGCGTATTAATATAAAATAAATAATATATTTACAAATTATCATTATTTTACCGATATCAAAAAGTTTAAAAATTAATTAAAAATACACGGTACAAGAGCGACGGTTTTTGTTCTCAGGACATATTTTACGTATAAAAACAAATTCTGAAAAATTTACCAAGGTG